GAATATGGGAAGTAGATAATGTAATAAACAAAAAAAAAAACAACCATAAATACATGTCCGATTTTTCTAAAGTTGAAAGTTTGTTTCTTGACCCAACCCATTTTTTTTCAACTTATCCTTCTTTTCCCTTCCCTTCCTTGCCTCGAAGGCACAGATACATTCACTAATTTCGATTCCATAAACAATTCCTGTACCTTGAAGGCATACATATTATATTCATTAATTTCAATTTCAGATTGAACATAATAAAATAAAAAAATTATTTTCTTTCTTCTTGAAAAAGAAAAATGAATTTTTTAAAATACATCAGCTTTATTTCTGGATTAATTTATTTATTTACCTTGGTAGAATCGGCAGCACAAAATAAACCAAATGAGGGTAAAACACAGTTATATAACATTGTACTTGAAAGTGGTAAATCAGTTAAAAATGCACATTATCAATGGTTAACAACTAATCTTAGTAAATGTATTGACGCTGATAAAAGTACAAGATCGTTTAGTGATAAAAATTGTGTAAAGGATTTTTCAGCTAAAAGTGGAGAGCTTAATGGATATACTGCTTTGCTTACTCAAGATTTTGTAGATGAACTAAAGAATAGAGGTGACGTCAAAGTCGTGGAAAAAGAAGGTTTTATGACAATTCAGCATGTCATTCCACGTGCAGTCCAAAATAAACCACCAAAAGATTTGGATCGAATAGATCAAGCAAACCTTCCTTTAGATGGAAAATTTATTTATCCTGATAGTGCAGGACAAGGTGTTAATATTTTTATAGTAGATACGTAAGTAAAAACTTCTTTTATACAAAAGATACTTTTCTATATAATGTATTAATATTGAAAGAAAATTAATAATTTTTTTTTTTTTTTGAATTTTAGTGGAGTTCGTATTACTCACCAAGAATTTGAAGGACGCGCTAAATTTGGGGGAGCTTTTTGTGATGGCTGTAATAATCAAGATGAAAATGGACACGGGACCAATGTTGCTTCGATTGCAGCGGGTAAAACCTTTGGCGTCGCAAAGAATGCATCAATTATTGCTGTAAGAGTTCTCGATGCTAAAGGTAGTGGTACAAATTCCGAAGTTATCAATGGATTAGCGTTCGTTCTAGATCAACATAATAAAGGAACAAATAAAAATTCAGTAGTCAAGTATGTATTAATTATGATATATATAAATATAAATATATATATATATATATATAGTGAAGATTAATTATAATAATTATAAAAAATTTTTTAGCTTGTCTCTTGGAGGACCTTTTTCAGAGGCAGTTAATTTAGCAGTCGAAAGTCTCACAAAAGCTGGAGTCCACGTAGCTGTAGCAGCAGGAAACGATGGCGATGATGCATGTAAATCATCACCATCATCCGAACCAACAGCAATCACCGTCGGAGCCACAGAAGACAACGATGCCCTCGCAGGTTTTTCCAACATTGGAAAATGTGTTGATATTTATGCGCCAGGTGTAAATATTCTAGGAGCAGGAAATAAAAATGATAATGATACTTTATTAGCATCAGGAACTTCCCAAGCGACACCACACGTCGCTGGTACACTTGCACTTATAATTGCCAAAAGCGGTAACCAAAGTCCAGCAGACATGGCCATAGCATTGAGTACGTTGTCAACTAAAAATGTAATAAAAGGTTCTAATGTTACTATTAATGATTTTTTACGCGTACCGGCGCCATAAATAATTGAAAAAATATATAGAATAGAGAAATTTGATATACTTAACTATTAGTTTACATATCGCATCTCTAATATGGGAATGTCAATAATTCTACCGTATAACTATATAAAATTAAAATAAAAAAATTTTTTATCAAATTTGGTTTAATAGTTGCTGAGATATTTTAACTTAAAGTTGAAAAAAAATTACTTATAAACAAATTGCTTGGTTTCTATTGACACTCCCATATATAGGAAATTGATAATTCCACAACCTTTTTTGATGTCACACCACTGCAGGTCATTCAAATTTCTACAATTTTTTTTGAACTTTAATCGACATCCATATGATCAAATTCAATGAACTTTTTTTTTTTCTTTAAATTCTACAGGTTTCTATAATTCAAATAAAAAAAAAATTCAATGTTTTTGTAAATTTTGAATGTCTATTAAATAGAAGCCGCGTTGTAGATTGTTATGAAATTTAATCGAAGGTATCTCTGTTCGACATCATTTCACAATTTAGGTCAATTTGAATTCATTCTTAAATTTTCACCGATTTAGAAATGACTTGGGCTTCTTTACAGGTGAGGTCGCCTTTTTCTCAAATTTGCTGGTAGGTCTTGCCACAATAACTTTCGCCAAACTTCTCATGAATATTTTTCCAGTCGGTCATATTACTAATATGATTTTTCCTGCTCGCTTTCGTCAAACTTTTCTCTTAATTCTTTTTCCGTAAGTTTATAATCTCGGCCCACATTCTTCTTATAATTTTCGGCAGTGTTATAATTATATTGTTTGCCGTCTCTTAATCATTGTGGGTCAATTCTTAATGCTAGAATATGTGCTGGTGCTAATTGGTCACATAGGATAATTGGTCACACCCAGTGGTGAATGGAAAGACTTTATCTCAAATTTAATAAAAATTAGATCTTATAATCACATTAATTTATTATACTACAAATGTATTACGTATGCTATATTATTTAATATTAAAAAAAATAAAAATAAAAATAGTCTTTGAATGTTTAATTTTAAATAAATCTTTCTTATTAATTTTAAAAATGGAATGATACAACTTCCTGGTGCATGAAACCTTTGATCAAATATTAGAAATTTTATTCATCAAATGAAAAACAAACGTAGTTTAATGGATCAAATAAATACAGTATAATCAATCTTCAATGTACAACCAATTTACAAAACCCAAAATTTTAAATATTGGGTGACATAATTTTAAAATTCTTTATGTTGGTGCGACTGAAGAACTTCATATAATTAAGCCAACTGAAAATAACCTGGGGCGCAAATTTATTCAACTGAAAAATTTTGTAAGATAATTTGTAACGTGCTAGTTAAGACAAAATCTGGCAAAAGGCTTTTTTGGTTTTTATAATATACTTATTTTTCTTTTTAATAATATAAAAAAGATTCATATGAGATATTGTTTTATCCCACAAAAGATTTCTACCGAAAAAATAACTTGTTATGTACATGATGATATGGATGTGTTCTACATGAGATTCTTTTTTTGGTTTATGTAATTTTTAGTTGTAGAATTTTTATATGCCTTTATTGTGCTTTGTTTTTTATTTTTTCATAATACATCTTTTTTTTTTATTTAAGTTTTATGAAGCATTTCATTTTTAATATAGCAGTAATTTATGCAAATGTTACATTTTTTTGTGTAAATTTTTTATGGCTTATTTATTTATGCAAAAGGATATTTAAGATATAATTAATATTTTATTATCGGTCATATTATTTTTAGGATCTAGTCGCATAAATTTATGTTTTCACCGATTAACAAATAACGTATGTCGATTCAAAATTTAAAAATGATTTAGATCAATTTGTAATTGACTTAAATTGTGAAATGACGCAGAACATCTCAACATCCACCTGACTAAATTCGATGAAATTTTTTTTCTTTTAGTTCTACAGATTTCTACAATTTAAATAAAAAAAAAAGTCATCAAATCTGATTAGATGGTTGTCGAGATATCTTCGATTAAAGAATTATAAATTTAACGTTTATGAGTCAAATAGAAGCCGCATTGCAGATTGTTGTAAAACTTAATCGAAGATATCTTGACATCCATTTGACTAAATTTGATAAAACTTTTTTCTTAAATTTTACAGATTCCTACAATTCAAATAAAAAAAAAAGTTTATCGAATTCAGTCAGGTAGTTGTTAGAATATCTTCGACCAAGATTTTAGAAAATTTGAACATCTATCAAATTTGATGAACTTTTTTTTCATTTAAATTCCAGATTCCGGCAAATAAAATAAAAAAATTATCAAATTTGGTTATATGTATGTCAAGATACCTTCGATCAAAGTTTATTGAATGATCAGCAGGGTGTGACATTATCAAAAGAGTGTTGAATTATCAATTTCCCATACGTATATACAAGTAATAAAGAAAAAAGGTGTTTGATTAAATTCGTGAATATTTATTATCTGATATATATTTCATATATGTACGTACATATGTATAAAAAATAGGTTGATATTTAGTATAGGTGGGAATATAAAAATATAATAAGATTATTTACTATAAAAATAACTATTTGAACTAATTTAAATAAATTTGAGAATAGTTAGAGTTAGGGTAAGAGTTATAGTATAATTTATAGTTAGCTTAGAGTTAGAGTTAGAGTTTTTTATATTAAATAATCTTATAAAATTTGTATATTCACATCTATACTAAATAAGATCTAAAAAAGGTTACATTTATGAAAAAGATACAATGAAAATAGTCAATCAGAAACATAAATTCAAACAATTGTATAAAGTGAAATTTTTTTAATATTTTTGTGGCACTAATAAAATAACAGAAGTAAAATAATATAAATTATATAACTATTTTTACTCAAATACCAGAAACGGAATATAATGAAGTATATAGTTATCTGAAGAGTGAAATGGAGTATACAAATACTGGCCTTTGACCTTAAATGAATTGTATTCTGATTTAACTTCACCCATTATTTATATGGATTTGCGTATGTACATATGTATATATGTATGTGCATAAGTATATAACAGTTACACAATTTGTTTTTTTTTGATATTAAAAGATGAGGCCTTGCTCATATTTTTATTGAGTAATTTATATAAGTAATCATAAAGAAACAAAACTAAATAAAGACTTAATTCATATATAAATGAATAAATATAAACTACATGCAAAAATAAAAGCTCAGACTAATTTATCTGTGACCTAAACCTACTAGAGTGGTCAAGACTCACCTAGATTTAAATAGTTAATATATGAATAGTTAATATATGAATAGTTAATATATAAATAGTTAATATATGAATAGTTAATATATAATTAGTAGGAATACTGAACTGAATCCACAAAGTGGTCCAGATATTAAATTTAAGTTTAGCGAGCCCAGCTGGGGGCAAGAAAAGGAATCAGAATGTAATTGATCAGGTAAGTTGTATGGACAGTTATATGTGAAAGTGTTACAAGTTTTAGTATAGAGACGAGTAGGAGATTGTTGACTAACTTGAATAGAAGTAGAATTGGATGATATTTGATGTGCTTTTTTCCAAGTAGAAAAGTAAATACAGTATGATTTCTATATTTGTTAGTAGATTTGATTAGAAATTTTGATAAAGATTTTGATAATTAGCTAATAAGGTATATTAAATGGTAATATGTATTGAATGAGCAGAGAAGGAATAAGGCCTTTAAGAGTAGAATGAAGAGAGTATGGATAGAGAGTAGAAGGATGAAGAGAGAAGGAAGGGTAAGATAAAATTGTATGTATTAAGTAATTAAGTTTATGAGAAGCAAGATCAAGATTGGTATTCAAAATAGTTTCTGAAATAGAGAAATTAATAATTTGAGATAAGAGATTATAGTGAGAACAGAGATACCAATGAGAAGAAGAATCAGGAAGGTTACATTGAAAACAGTTAGAAGATGGGAATAAGTTAGGAGAAATAGAATGAAAATGAAAGTGTCACAAGTAGAAAAATGGCAAATCAGCATGTTTACTGATTTTAGATAAATTAACAAATAAATATCAATAAACATTAATAGGTATTCTGATTTGAATCTGATAGAATACTGATTTAAAAATATTGGACAATATTATCATTTGCCGATTTCTTCTAGATTTTGGCGCAAATCAGCCTAAAATAGACTTCAATTAGAAATGCCTATTTGAGCTAATTTATTAATTTGAATGCTAATTAAACAAATAAACTACAATCAGCAAATTACTGGCTGAACAATTTTTATTAAATATTATTTTGGCTGATTACAAATTATTAACCAATCAGCAATATAAATAAGCTAATCATTTAAACTATTTAACTTTTAATACTGTAATATTGATATAAAAAACTAATTAAGTTTTTTGCATATATCGATATTAAATTATAAAGTTGATTTTACAAATTATAGCCGATCCAGTTAAGTTATTTTTTACAGCATGATCGGTATATAAAAAATATATTTTTAATTCGTCCGATTTTTATTTACGGTAGTATTGATGAAATATCTATAGCATAAATTAAATTACATCATTGGTTCAAAAATTACCAAATAAATATAATTTATTATAATGTCTATATTATGTATTAAAATTTAGTTAAACACTTGCCCAATATGCTTGGTGGTTTAATTTGTGCGAAAGTTTATAGGAAAGACTGTTCTTGTCAACTATTAAACCTTTACAAAAATATAAAAAAGGCAGCGGATATCAAATTAGCCTTTATGAGCTAATATTAAAAGGTTAGATACGATCAAGAGTTTGTCAATTAGACTAAAAATTCAACTAAAGTCGAGATTCCAAAAAATCAAGACTTTATTAATATTTATCAATAATGCATTAAAAATTATGCTCAATAAAATCAAAGCGAAACAGTAGATCTAACAATTAAAGATTCTCTAGAAACTTAATCTATAACAAAATACTTTTGAGTATTAATACGAAAGAGCCTTTTATAAAATTGGTGAAGGTTTATAAAATAAAAATATACATAAATATCTTTGATT